ATCAGTGTGTGTGATTGTTCGTGTGTCATTAAAGGGTTGTTTTCTAGTAGTGGTCAAAAGGAAGACATTGATTTCTTTGATACTTAAGCTCATGTTACCATAATTTCAACTATTAGATTATTATTAGCTCTTGCAGCTATACATAATCTTGCAATTCACCAAATGGATGTCAAAACTGCATTCTTGAATGGTGACTTGGATGAGTAAATTTATATGAAACAACCTGAAGGGTTTATGATGTCTGGAAATGAACACAAAGTGTGAAATTTGAAGAAATCATTATATGTTTTGAAACAAGCACCAAAACAATGGCATCAAAAGTTTGATAATGTTGTCTTGTCTAATGGTTTTGCATTAAACCAAGCTGACAAGTGTGTGTATAACAAATTTGATACTTCTTGTAAATGATTTATCATTTGTTTATATATGGATGATATGTTGATTTTTGGTAATGATTTGGAAGAAGTTGACAAACTCAAGAAATAATTATCATCTAGTTTTGAAATGAAAGACCTGGGGGAGGCAGAGGTGATTCTTAGCATAAGAATTAAACAAGGAAACAACGATATTTCAATTTCTCAATCTCATTACATTTAGAAGATTTTGAAAAAGTTTAACTTTGAGAACTGTTCTCCTGTTAGCACTCATATAGATCCTAGTCTTAAGCTTCTATGAAATAAAGGATCTCCAGTGTCCCAACTTGAATACTCAAGGGCTATTGGTTGTTTGATCTATGCCATGATCAACACTAGGACTGATATAATATATGTTGTGGGAAGGCTTAGTAGATATACTAGCAATCCTAGTTCACATCATTGGAAAGCTGTGAGTAGAGTATTTAAGTATTTGAAAGGAACCATGGATTATGGTTTAACTTATAATGGATATCCTTCTGTTTTGGAAGGTTATTCAGATGCCAGTTGGATTAACAATTTAGAGGATCACTCCTCTACAAGTGGTTGGGTGTTTCTTCTTGGAGGAGGTGCCATTTCTTGGGCATCCAAGAAACAAACATGTATTACTAACTTAACCATGGAGTATGAGTTTGTAGCTTTATATGTTGTTGGTAAAGAAGTTGAGCGGCTAAGGAATTTGATTTATGAAATTCCTTTATGGCCCAAACGGATATCTACCATTTCTATCAGATGTGATTGGGTTGCAACTTTGGTTAAAGCTTATAGTCAAGTGTATAATGGAAAGTCTAGACATTTAGGTGTTAGACATATATAGCATGATTCGTGAGCTCATCAAGACGGTTGTGATATATGTGCAGTTTGCAAGAACTCGGTTGAATTTAGTGGATCATATAACCAAAGGGTTAGATTTAGTGGATCATATTGTATACAAGGCGGCTGTAGGGATAGGTTTAAAGTCCACATAAAATCTTTTATATTGAGATACCTAATTCTCATCTAATGTAATATTAGATGCTAAATTCAATGTGGAAAGCTTAATATTTAAATATTGGAACACGTCATTGTTATCATCTTAAGGTATGTGTTAAGTACTGCAAGTTAAGGAGGTTGAAATTTTATTTCTTAATAGTTCTTTGAAAAATTGCATATGCAAGTGAAAGAACAAAAGAACTACCTATATAAGCATGAATTTTAGTTGCTTTAAGAAGTTGGGAATTGACTTTGATATGCTCATTTAAGTATGGGACACAAGCTAGTAAAATATGATGGGTTTTAGGCATAAGAACAATCCTATGTGCTCATACAAACCCTAATGCTTGGATCTAAGTTTCTCTAGTGTACATGCTTTGAATCCAAGACTTGCAACCCTAGATCTATCATATATAATTCGAAATTAACATCATAAGAACATATCTAAGTGTTTACCTCTTTCAAATTGCTTGAAATCCTTGGAGTTTTCTTGATCTTGAGCTTAGAGTCACAATTGTAACTCCTCTAATGGTTCACAAACCCCACAAGCAAGAAGGCAATATGAGAGAGGGTGATAGATGCTAAAATTGGCCCTATGGTTCTCTTGGATTTAAGTGTAGCCGATTTTCATAGCCTAGGGGTCATATTTATATTGTAGGTTGCTAGGGTTTCAATCTAAACCCTAATGGACAACTTAGCCACCAAGCAGCCCAAGGAACCTTCTGGAATAAGGCCTTGGACGAAAATATGATGGATCCCCATCATAATTTCGTTCCCCCTTTAGTCCATTAGGTTTCCCAACCCAAAACTCAACTATCATACATTTGACAGTTTATGCCCCTGTATTTAATTAATCTCTTTTAGTCACCAAATTAATTCCTAATTAATTTATGACCAATACTAATTAAATATATATGATTTCTCCTTTAATATATTATTCTTAAAATATATTAATAAACCATAATATTCTCTCTCTCTCCTTAAATTACCTTGTCAAGTTTCTTTGGTGAAGGCAACCCAAAAGGACCATGCACAACCGAGTCAAGTACATACCAAATGTAGTTACGGGCTTAGACAATAATCCAACAGTCTCCCACTTGGATAAGTCTAGTAACTATATCTCACATATGACATCATGATCCGATTAGCAATCATAGCTCTTATACATCGTTGTCAACTCTGATCAGTAACTTGTCCTTCAGATAAGGGATCATATAATCCTCTATTTTAGATATCATGCTGACAATGCTTATTGTCCAGCATTTGTTCCTCGATTTCTGACTTGTTTGACATAGAATTTAGTTAAACACATCAACTTCATTCTAACTGGGCCCGACACATAAGTCAAACCAAATCATCAAGTGGCCAAGATATCACCTTTATTCTCATAGAATAAAAGGAACAGATTAAATTCGACTCATATGCATCTATTATTTACCAATTAAATCATGCACAACAATGTGTTTTATAAAATCAAGTTACTAATGCGTTTACACATCATCAATGCATAACCAACCAGAAAACAACAACCATATCTCTAAGTTTTAAGACTATATGATATTATCGCTTTGCGATCACTTAAGGTAAAACACCACGAAGTGATACCAGCAAATGCGGGTTTATTCCAATGCTCAAATCATATTTATAAGCATTCATGAACTTTGCAGCAAACATTTGCTATACCCAAAACCTTTTAGACAATTTACAAACAATTCATGACAGTCTTCATTCACATCTACTTCCAAAATATGAACGATTGTGGACTGTTCGAATAATCCTATCATTCAGGAAGTCAAAACATGAAAAATTGAAACAATAGATAAATAACCAACACAAGATAGTAGCTTTACTCATAAAATGTTAAGTACAAAATATCTATTACATGTTTCTTATCTAATCCAAACTTATATCATCTTTCAGCTCAATGCTCCTAGCGTGCTGCAAGTGTTTGACCCTACTCAGTCCCTTCGTAAGGGGATCTGCTGGGTTTTCTTCTGATGATACCCTCTTCACAACGAGGAGTCCCTCTCTACCCGATGTTTGATAAAATGGTATTTTCTGTCGATATGTCGAGATCTACCATGATCTCTTGGTTCCTTGGTTAAGGCAACCACTCCTTCATTATCACAGAAAATTTACATTGGCTCCTTTATTGATGGCATAAATCAAAGGTCTCCAATGAAGTTCTTCAACCATATAGCCTCCTTTGACGCTTCGCTCGCCGCAATGTACTCTCACCCGCACGTTCAATCAGCTACAGTCTCCTGCATGGAACGTTTCCAAGTCACTGCTCCTCCATTTAGGGTAAAGACCCAGCCCGACTGCGATCGGTAATTTTCCCGATCCGTCTGAAAACTAGCATCATTGTACCCTCGTACCCTTAAGTCATCACACCCACCGAGGACTATAAACCATTCCCTGGTCCTTCGTAGGTACTTAAGAATATTCTTAACTACAATCCAATGAGCTCTACTAGAAATTTTAACTGATCCCATGAAAAATATAATCTCAGCATCAAAGGAATGGTGGGATGAGAAAATAAAGGTAATAATTAAAAAATGTATCTAAAAATATAGTATTTGTATTGTATTTTTCATGACATTTTCATTATGTACATATAGGAAGATAAAGAGTATGCTAAGTTTAAGGATAAGAATTTGGATGTGTATCAGACATATTATGAGGCTTTATTTCGGGATATTGTAGCTGTTGGAGTCAAGGCTAAGGTACCTTGCGAATTTGGCACCGGTAGCACTCCGGTTGATGTACAGTATGTGGATATTACGGATGAAAAAATGGATACTGACGGATTCCACTTATTTGAAGATGTTGATCCTTTTCTCACATATGATAGTTCTAGTATGAAAAGGAAGGGAAAGAAGTTAACTCCCAAGCGTGACAACAAAAGAAAATTTGAAGGGAATAATGAAGGAAAAAACCAAGGGAAAAGTATGGCAAACTCGTCATATGAAGAGAAACTAGACACTATTTTTGATGTTTTGTTAACAAGGAGCACTCAACCCTCTAGACAAACCATACAGTCACCCACAACAGAAGATTGCATGGCAATAGTCTCTACTTTCCCGGGTTTTGAAGAAGGGACAATAGGATATTTAGAAGCGTTAGAGGTCTTTTTAAAGAAACCAGCTCGTCAGAATTTTATGGTTCCAAAGACTAATGAAACAAAGATGGAGTTTCTCAAGAGGCTTATAGAGAAAGAGAGTAGTTGAAGACTTTAAAAAATCGTTAGAACTTTTGTGGTCAATTTGGCCCTTGCCATGAAGTCATCTAGTATGTGATAAAAAATCGTTAGAACTTTTGTGGTCAATTTTGCCCTTGTCCTATGACTTTGTTTTTGTTTCTTTTTCAATGATTTTATGTATTAGGAAGACTTTAAACGGTTTTCATGTGTTAGACCTATCCTTTAAACTATTATGTTATATTTAAATGGTTGTTTTGCGTTTGTTTCCTTTTCAATGATTTTATGCAATGTCGTTTGATATTTGTTTTGTGGTCAATTTTGCCCTTGCCATAATTTTGCCATGAAGTTATCTAGTATGTGATAAAATTCAATCTTACACTAGTTTCCTTATCGTTTAGTAACAGGTTATATTAATGGCTAGTGACTGTGAAAGTGACAACTCATATGACAATGATGACTTATGTGATGAAAATGAAGAAAATGAAGATATTCAAACACTTCTTTTATGTGGGCTTGCCGTCAAAGGGTTACTAATGACTCATAAATTGAAATATGTATGTAGACGTCGCCGTTCATCTTCGCGCACAGGAAGCATGCTAATCAATGAAATACTTAACGATCATGAGGCCCGATGTTATCAACTTTTCATATTAGAAGTCCCGGTTTTCAACATGTTATGTAGGGATCTTGTTGCACATTATGGGTTGAAGAAATCACGTCGTGTATCTACTGAAGAGTCCTTTGGTATTTTCTTGTTGTACTTAGCGCATAGATGTGGAAATCGATTAGTTCAAGAGTTCTTTAATCATTATGGGGAAACAATCCATAGACATTTTCATAAAGTCTTGGATGTTGTGGTTAACCTAAGTAAGGACATCATCAAACCAAATGCACTACAACGACACTATACCAGAATATATTTTAAATAACCTTCGGTATTATCCATACTTCAAGGTACTTATTTGTTGCAAAGTTATATTATTTGGTGAATTTGTGTAATAGTAAAAATAATTGGTAACTTATTATATTATTTGAATTTGTAGGATTGTATTGGTGCCATCGATAGAACACACGTGAAGGCCTCTGTTCCGCAACGTGACCAAATCAAATACATTGGACGAAAGAATTGTGTTACTCAAAATATTATGGCAGCATGTGATTTCAACATGTGTTTTACCTTTGCGTGGGCTAGATGGGAGGGGATTGCACATGACACGAGAATTTTCAATGAAGCGCGAAGGAGATGTGAAGTTAAGTTTCCACTTCCAGCCGATGGTTAGTATGCTTACTCATTAATAGAATTTTTATATTTTCAAACCATATGAATTAATAACAATCTTTTTATTTTATTTCTACAGGTAAGTATTACCTTGTAGATGTCGGATATCCTAATACAAAAGGTTATCTTGCTCCCTACAAAGGTTCAAACATCCGTTATCATATTCCTGATTTTCGACGTAGATAGACCCGTGCCTTGCGAGAACCAAAAGGATTCAAAGAAAAATTTAACTACTATCATTCGTCACTTCGCAATATAATTGAACAAACTTTTGGAGTCTGGAAGGCTCGATTGGTGTTACTAAGAGATATGCATGTAAATTTCAACTTCGAGACCCAAGTAAAAATTGTGCTAGCTTCAATGGCAATTCACAATTACATTAGAATGAGCGGTAGTGGTGATGTAGCATTTCAAATAGCGTAAGAAGAATCTTATATTCCACGTAATGATCAAGGACCCGATGATGGTGTTGAGCCACATGACGAAGTATCAAGTATACAGCGTAGAAGTGACGATATGTATATGAGTGCAGTACGCGATATGATTGCGGGACAAATATTATCAAGGTCAAACACTCGTGCACGTAACGGCGTAAGATTTGTTTTGAAACGAATTTTTTGGATAATATGTTGGATATTTGGATAATATGTTGGATATTTGGGATAATATGTTGGATAATATGGATTTGGAATGAAATTTGTGGTTTCATATAATTAAAAAAATGTTTTTCTTATAAAAAATGGTGTAAAAATAAAATGGCAAATGTTTTTTTTAGTTATTGTGAATAAAAAAGTATTATTATTGTTTAAAAAAACAAAATATTTTGTTTGAATAAGAAAATATGCTAAAATATAAGAGGAAGCCTTTTTTGGTCATCTACTCTAATAAATGAAGGTTTTTTTGTCACATATCTTCTTCTCTTTCATTTGGCCACATGACATTTTCTAGAATTTTTAAATTTTTTATTTTCCACTTGTCATTTTATTGTATTTTTTATTTTATTAAATTAAAATTTCATATTTAATATGTAAGGTAGTATATATGTAAAGTATTTATTAGAAATGGTTTATATATGTAATGTATTCAATACATTAAAGCCTTACTAATTTTAATAATTTAAATTTTTTCTCATTTTTCTTATAAATTCAAACTTTTTCAAATTGCTAAAATTTCATATTTAATTTTTTTTTAATTAAACTCATGTAATACATGGGTCTCACACCTAGTTTTACTAATATAAGCTGTTTTGTTTGTCAAACACTTAAAAATGCTTATTGCTTATTGCTTATTTCCACCACAACAAGGTAATCCAAACACTTTTTAAAAAACTGCTTATTCCCACCACAATAAGCAATAAGTAATAAGCCAATAAGCTAAAAAAAAATTATCCAAACACCCTCTTAATTCTCATTGTCATCTTCATTAAAACACCACCGCCGACCTTGCCTCCATCGGCCGCCACAGACGCTATTTCCCTCTGAGACGTAGAAAAGACTCTCCTTTGTGGAGAACCGATAAAGCGAGGATGATCATGGGCTGCCTTCCACCTTCCACCATTTTCAGAATTCTGATATCCATCTTCTGTGGTTACAAGTCGGCGGCTTCATGTAAGGTCCATCTTTTACTTCAGGAGCCATCGAATTCCTAAAAACTTCTACTTCGCCTTTTCTCGCACAAACCGCCATAAAATTTGTCATCGTTATCTTCTCTTCCTCAAAGTCGATTGCCGCCATTATCCTCCAATATCGTTCATTTATGTTTTCTTTATTCTCCTTTCTTCTTTACTCTTCCTTCCTCTTTGCTTCTTTGCGTTTCTATTTTGCATCCGCGTACCTCTTTCTTCTTATCTCAATTTGCTCCCATTTTGATCAGGAAAGTCTTCCATGTCTCTAAGCCCCTTCCATTCATTCCATTTTCTTTCTTGCAAATTAATCCACTAACTATTTCCTTTTCTTTCTTCCAGACTAGAAAGATAATGAAGACAGTAGATGCGTCGCTGCTGCTGGTGGTCAGTGACGGCGTCACCGGAGTGCAGGAATATCACCAAAGCTTCACCAGACTACCAGTGCTCTATAATCGTCTTTCCAATGTGTAAGTTCTAGGGTTGTGAGTTTTTTTTGTGCGATTGTCAAGGACCGACCTTGACATGTAAAAAAGAGGAGGTCGATTTGGTTCTGTTTTTTCTGGATAATAGATAAACTTTGCCTCTCTTTGTCATATGTGTAACTTAATTTGATCAGAAGTAGAAAAGAAGATAGGTAAGATTCCAGTTCTTTTTTTGTTCTGATATCGCATGCTAAGTGTTTATGGTATTGTCTCAATGAGTATACCATTTTTTTTTGCTAAAGGTCTATGAATTTCATGAAGGTTTTTTTCGGTTTAGGGTACCTTCTCTACTTTTTTAATTTATACGGATCTTGATGTAGGGATATATGCTATTCTTGATCAATAATATAGAATTTCAATTTCACATTACTTTTCAGTAATTTAATTATTATCTTTTCATAGGTTAGTCTTGTAAATGATTTCATATTTATCTTTTTTAAAAAGGTGTTGACTTTATTGACTTTCCAGGCAAAATTTTGATGGGTTTGGTGGTGCTAGAGGCTTTGCACGTGGAATGGGTGGACGTGGTTTAGCTTCTCTCTTTTCTTGATATGTTCATGTTTATTTATATAACTTATAACAATTTTGCTTTTGAAAACTCTTTTTTTTAATAAATTTTAGGTAGGGGTGGTGGTGGCGGATTTGAGCGGAAAAACCACCTCCAAGCTATCTATGTGTGTTGGATTAGTATTTAAGGCTGTAACTATATTTGGTAAGTACTTGACCAGGTTGTGCATGGTCCTTTTGGGTTGCCTTCACCATAGCAACTTGGTAGGGTAATTTAGAGAGAAGAAATATTATTATTATTATATTATAAGAATAATATGTTAAAGGAGTAATATTATTTGATTAATATAAGTCATAAATTAATTAGGAACTAATTTGGTGACTTAAGGAGATTAATTGAATAAAGGGGTATAAACTGTCAAATGTGTGAAAGTTGTATTTTGAGCTGATAATCCTTGTGGATATAGGGTTGGATGATTTTAGGGATATGGATCACCTAGAAATCGTCCAAGGGCTTATCTAGGAAGGGATTTGGATTGCTTTGAGGCTAAGTTTCGGGTTTAATGGTGAAACCCTAGGAGCTCACAGTATAAATAGACCCATAGGATTGAGGAAATTGACTCCCTCGTGATTAGAGTAACCCTAAAGCCGATTTTCCTCCTCCCCATCTCTCTCAAATCATCTTCTTGCTAGTTGGTGTTTGTAAACCATTAGAGGAGTGACATTTGTGACTCTAAGCTCTAAGAAGAAGAAGGTTTTCAAGCAAGTAACTCAAGGTATCATTCTAGATCTGTTTTCATATGTTTTGATTATTTGTATACATTAGATCTAGCCATGAAAGTCTTGGATTTTTTGCATGTTCAATTAGTGAAACCTAGATCCAAGCTATATGGTTGTATGTGCACATAGGTAAAGTTCTTATGTCCAAAACCCAACAATGTGTTCATCATTTATAAATCTTTTTCTCTTTTTTCAATTGAGAAGCTAATAACTAATAAGTATGAAATCTGTTAAATTACATAATATTTTTTACCAGGGCATTTTATTCAGCATTGTCACACAAATGGTGATCCTAATTTTGATATAAAGAGAATGAAACCTCCAATGGGTATTCCAAAATCCATGTTAATGGCTACTCCAGATGGCTCCTATGCTCATATGCATTACCTAGTGGTGTAGTAGTTGTTTTGAAGCCAAATGAGTATGTTATTAATTAATAAAGAATTGTTGGTGATCTTCCTCTAGAACTTCACTACCATTTATGCAAAGATGTGATGAAAGATGTTGTTCTCACCAGCAAGTGTTATTTCACCAGTTTCTGTGATAAATGTAAGTTTCTTTTTTTGCTGATGTGGCAAAACATAAGCTTCTAAATTGGATTTTTTTATAAATATTTGATTCTGTTTTTCTTGATTATACTATCAAGTATAAGAGATCAAATTATCTCCAAAGCAGTGTGTGTTTGTGGTGCAACGAATGTGCTTGCAGATGATCTCTTGCCTAATAAGACATTAAGGGATACAATAGACCTATTCAACACGCCAAAATGAAGATCAGAAAATGGAAGCCTTGAAAAAATACAGTAACATCGTCAAGTTGTTAAGATGTGTCGGCCGGAAGAAGGGCGAAATTGTCCATCTGACAAACTAGAAATTAATGTAGAAGGTTTTTGTAGTAATTCATCAGCTACTAAACAGCAACCATAAAGAATCGAATCATCTACACTCTATGTAGTATTAAAGCTCAGAACCTAATAACAAAAGCATCCCAAAACTAATCGAAGAGAGAGAGAGAGAGAGAGAGAGAGAGAGAAGAGAAAGAAAATAGTTAGAGGGAAGTGTGTACAAGAAGTATTTCATTCAATTCACTCATAGAAGGAGTTCTTTCTATTTTACATAGTATGTAAGGTACCGGTGAATTCGCATCCTGGAATCCCAATTCCAGGTTGTGGAGGAGAGAACGTTGTGCTCAGGGAATTGAGTGGTAGATTAGGAAGCATATGTAATTATGGGGAGATTTCACCTCAGTCTTGTAGCTTCAGTAAACAAGGAATTAGATAACTACATGGAGGAATCATCGCTATCCGAACATATCCCTGGTGGGTAAACCGAAATTAAAGGTCAAAATACCAATTCCAATGACAGATAGAGAAAGGCAATTCCGAAGGGAAAGGAAAAGAAACCCAATTCAACGCTCAAGCTACAGAAGACACCATGGTAAATTCATTCAATTCTTCTCTTTCATGTCACCCAATTTTGATATTTAACTAATTATGTAAATTACTTTGTTCTGCTTCATGTTCGTGATGGAGAGGGGGTGTTTTTCAGACTATATAGAGAACCTCATAAGCGCAATATTCTTGTACAAAATCAAGACACTTAAATTGTTATTGCAAATTAAGTTATCAATTAACTGAATTTGCTGCTTTAAAACGAGACAGAACTTTTCTAATAAAAAATCTAATCCACTCACTCATTGTCTATAATTTCCATCTTTTAGAAACTAAAATCATTTTGTGATTCCAATCCAACTGTGAATGATGCAGCTAACTTAACTTCAATTTATTGCAATGAAAAGGAAAAATAAAGAAACACGGCGCTAAAGGCGCAGCTAATTCCCCTCTGGTTATAATTAAAATGTATTAATCTTCATCAATGATTATTCTTGCCATTATCTACTAGCACAATTTATTATTATTTTGATAAATGTCGTTTAACACCAACAGTATCATTTTTGTTTAACGAAATAGCTTACCATATATACCAAATTTCTAATAAAATCCACGATTCATGAAATTATAAGTGTAACTATAAGGATCGAAGTGGAAACTATTAGAAAGCTTAGGGTGCGTTTAGTTGCGGAAAAATGAGCTGTTTTCCGGAAAAAATTTCCAAGAAAAATGAGAATTTTGAAAACACGTTTAGTTCCTTTATTTTTCTAAAATTTTCACGGAAAATGAAAATTTTTCGTTTTCTAAAATTACAAAGAAGTTGAAAAATTTTGAAAAACTGATAATCATTGTTTTCCACATTTTTCTAATTCCAAATTTTTTTATAAACACACACATACATACCCACCCCACACACACCCACCCACACACACACACACCAACCCACACACACATACATACCCACCCACCCACACACACACACACACACCCACCCACAAACACACACACACACATACATACCCACACAACCGCACACACCCGCGCGCACACACACACACACAAACCCACACCTATCCCCACCCCCACCCTCACAGACACATACACCCACACACACAAACCTACACCTACCCCCACAAACACACACAGACACACACTCGCACCCCCACCAACCCAACGCCACCATGACAATCACCGACCTACCATCACCACCACCACCACCACTAACTCGTCACTAGCACCACCACCACTGACACAATTGCTGCCGCCACCACCATCGTCTGTCATCACCACCACCGCCGCCGACCCGCTACCGTCACCGCCCCCACCCACACCCTACCACCGCTACCGTTTTTTAAAAATGAAAACCAATAGAAAAATACACATCTAAACACATTTTCTAATTTTTTAAAACTGAAAATGAAAAATGAATAAGTTTAACTAAACGCGTTTTCTAAATTTTTCAATGAAAAATGAAAACGGAAAACGAAAATCGAAAAGGGAAAACAAAAAACGGAAAATAAAAATTGTTTTTCCGTAACTAAACGCAACCTTAGGTTCTTTATTGCCATTTGCTTTTTTAGCTATAGATGGTCAAGTTTGACATCATGATCCAGAAGCTATGTTTTCTTCTTATGAGTATTACTTTGATCAAAACTTTTCATTCATGTACTTTGGCCTAAAATTGTGTAATATGTTTTTCTTTCTAGAAAATTTATAATAATAATAATAATAAATTACGCCAATAGTCCTTGAGAAATGCCAAATCTGACAAGTTTTTTTTCAAAACGGCAGATTATATATATATATATATATATATATATATATATATATATATATATATATATATATATATATATATATATATATATATATATATATACCAATGAAGCCCAACCCAGCTGGGAAAGAGGTGTTGGGTTTATATCCATTGAAGGGCAAGGTGGGGAGTTCGACTCTCATTGGTAGCCACTCATGGGGAATTTTCCTTTGGAATCCCATTAAAAAGGGTGATGGTTTGCCAGTAAAGGAGCCTGAACCCGGGCTTCCGCTTGGTATTTGCCGTTCCAATATATATATATATATATATATATATATATATATATATATATATATATATATATATATATATATATATATATATATATATATATATATTAGCAAGCAACTAAGACATGAGCTTATTATGTACAAGGAAGCATAAGGAAACAGAAACATAAACAGTTACATGATAGACTTCATAAGGTGAGAAAAAGGTGAACAACAACGGTCTATCCAGCTACCGCATTGCTCTTGTGTTTGCGCCGAAGATATCATAAAGCTACTTTTGTGGACGAAAGTCTTAAATCCTTGTAAATTCTCTCGGATGTTGCATCGTTAAATCTAATGTTATTTGACCACTAATCCTTAATGTGAGATTTTATTGGATGTTGCATGGAGCTGTTAAACTTTCATAAATAACAATTTTACCTTCATATTTTCTCTTTATTTTGTGTTCTATATTTTTCATAAATATCCATTTTATTATTATTTGACCTCGAGACTCATACCCATCTCAATGTTTCAACTTATGTTTTGGCCGTTAAGCTTTCTCAAACCTTTCAAATCCCATCCATTTATCAATACCTTATGGAGATGCATACCACGTATTTGGTTAAATGCCCCCAAGTGTGTTTTTAGAAGTAAACATCAAACATTCGTGGCACTTAAATATACTACTTGACGGAGTTTTGAATTATCCAAACTCTTTCGTTGATTCCTTTTTTGCTTCTCAAAAAGACTTATGCATTTCAACAAAGAACTCTTGATCCTTTTTTTGCTTCTCAAAGCTTCTAATAACATATTCCATGGACCTCCTAAGAGCATGATCACTAGCATTCTTTCCTATAAAATTAAAAATAAAAAAAATAAAAAAAAAAAAAAAAAAACAAAACAAAACAAAACAAAACAAAACAAACAAACAAACGTAAAATCCGTTAGTTGACTAGGATGAACCCGCTACAAATCCTTATTCTTGTTACACTTGAACTTTATGTTGACTAAATCAAATTTACAAAACAAAATCTACATGAAAGATATCTAGAGGAGAAGATAGGAGATGTGATGAAAAATCAAATACACTGCGGAGTGAAGATCAATGTTTTATCTTCGCTTAGAAGAGGATGTTATATTTGAAGAAGATGAAGCGAGACTAGAGGACAGGGAGACAAAGACAATGAAGTGTTCTTGATAAGGAGGAGATAAGACGATGTAAATCAGAAAAACAAACAGAAAAAAACACACGAGTAAAAGATAAAAGGTTTTATCGTCATTTAGGAGTCATGTGGCAAGTGACAACCGATTGACACCCGTTCAAATGGCTAAATGGTAACAAAATCGTGACTTCAATGACTTATTTAACACGGTTAGAACTTTGGCTAAATAGAAACAATTTTGAAAGTTTTTAGTCAAACAAAAGTCAATAATCCTCTTTTTTACCCTATCATATGCACAACTGAGACGTTAAAACTTGCGATTGCGTGACGCAAATTCTAGTTAGTGGTATTAACGGTCGTGATCACTTAGACGTCTTCAGTCTTCACCACATATAATCACATATATATCGAATATCGATCGTTCTTCTTTCATTTCGCCTCCAAAGCTGAGGTCCTCCGTTCTTCCCCCCTGTCCATGACCACCAACACCTACAATTTCATTCGCCTCCTGATTCCGAATTCAGTTTCCTATTCAAGTTACTGACATCCAATCATCGTTTCAGGTCTTTACTCATCTAAATAATCCTATCAGTAGGTTTGAATTATGCTCATCGTTTCTGTGTATGAAAGTTATGTTTCAGCTTTGATACTGAACGTGTTATTGATTCAAATGCTTCTCGTGTGTTTGAAATGTTAACAAGTAACAATAGGTGAATCGAGCCGCTTAACTAAGAAATCAATCCCCTTGATCTGAAATTGAGTTGCATTTACTGATTACTTTTCAATTTTTGACTGCTTAATAGTTACAAGTGCTGGAAATTCGCATTAGGCATTAGGCATTAGGCAATTGCTTGTGTGAAGTATGCAGTATATTCGATATAGATTTTGCATTTGATAACTAGTAGGTTTGACGTGAAACATCAAAACTGTAGTTGTGTTTTGAGAATGGAAGTGGAATCTATGATAACTCCACAAACTACGAACACTTATCTCGCCTTTAAAATTATCCATGAAAACTTTTGCAGAATATGGTAGGCGTTCAAGCGAGTCTTCCTTGTACCTGGGCTTTAGGAGGTCAAGATCATGTTATGAAAGTAGGATGCCGTATCTTTCCAATTCCATGCTTCAGTGATTCAGGTTTAGGTTCTTCTGGAAGTAGATCACTCTTTTTCCAGAAGCAGTGCGTTGTACATGGTTCTTGTATAGGTAAACGTTGGCATCCTATTGTTTGTTCTAGTAAAATGGATGATGATGCAGATACAAATGATTCTGATGATGATATAAATGAGGACAAATCTTCAGAATCAGTAAGTTGACATTTATAGTTTTATACCCTCTCCACTTTTCAACTGTTGATGAAGATGAGAATATGAAGTTTTAATTTTACAGGTTAACAATGAAATTCTGAGAGAAAATCTAGAAAGAATTATTGGTGTAGATGATTCTGCTTTTTCTGGGATTGATCTTGCAACACTTATTAGGAAAAAATACGGACGATCATATGATGTTCAGCTTATAAAGAAGGTATAAGCTTTATTTATCCCCTTGTAGTAGACTATTTCTTGATCTTGACATTTCAATTCAAACATGTTTAACTTAATATGATGCAGGAATTCATGGGTAAAAATCTCCTTGCATTGAATGTCATGTGGAAGTACATGGAACAGGTAAATAGGACATGTTATTAATACATTTTAGAAAAAACAAAAAATAATTTTAAAAAAAAAATCAATTGGCATGACAGAGATCTTTTCCTCTGACTGAAGAAGAGTACTTGTTGAGGCTTGATGACGTGGCGAATACGTTGAAATGTTGGGGAGCTGTTTCTCATATTCGAAACAGTTTGGAAAAATTGAAAGAGCGACCTCGGATTGGAAAGGTGTGTTCATATACAGCTTAACAGATTAAGTCATGTCTCATTAAGTCGTTTTGTCTGTATTAAGTTAATAATAAACACTCATTTATTATCCATTAAGTCAATGTGCTTTGGTATTGGTTTAGGCAGTCAGCATCTTTATAGACATGGATGAGAGTGGAGGGCGCACAAATGAATGGATTTACAAGTAGGTAAGAATGTGAATATGATCAAATCTTGTGGTGTAATGACAGGGGCATAAAAGTAATTAAGGAATGTTGGTTGTATATTTACTTACCTCTAAATCTTTCAAGATTTTAAAATGAAGGTAAGAAGCAATAGAAATGTTGCCTTGTAATGTGATTCTGTCATATTCTTTGTAATTAAACTAGAAATATGTCGGTTCATACAATATTTTTGGGTAAATTATTTTTACCAATATAGGCAATGTATTTTAATTATTTACCAACAATAGCAACCAAGTTATACTCTTTTTTTTCAATATTGACAAATATATAACATGTTTAATCGGTGATGTTATTTTTAATACATTTGTAGATGACAATCATGAGAGATTGCTTATGAAGTGACACTTGAACATTTATTGTTATATTACTTACATAAATTATATGCTCCACATTTTGATGTACTGTTTAAATTTTAACAAGGTTCTCATCCATTTTCAAAATCAAACATTAAAGTTAATCTCAAAGCCCTAAACCAGGGTTCCTTTTCTTTAAATATTGTATAGATAAAGTGGTTGAATGAGTGATGATGCTTATCTGAATAATCAATTATTGAGTATGAATCGTTCTAATAGATGTTTTATGACATGATGATAAGAAATCAAGCTCTTAAAATCCTTGGATGTGTCAAATCCATGATAACTAGCATGTGACTTGGAAACCTAAGCGAGATGAAGTGAAATCCAAAACTGTGAGATTAATTGTTAATACCCTTTAAAAAATAAAAATATATATTTTTTTAAGGGTTGACGGGTTGACCCAGGAACCCAAATACCACCCAGAACATGGTATGTTAATTTGACAAGTAAGATATCTCAACTTAAATCCGTTAATTTTCGTTATAACAATCTTTTTAGAGCTAATCTTAGCAAAATAACCATCTATTCACTATATTCTTTGTCCTATGGCATCTTAATAAACATCAAAGAAGAGCCAATTGGTTGTTGTATACTTGTGTTCATAAAACGGTCATTAAAATTGTTAAAATATGTCGTAAGAAGCAAAACATCTATAATTTTTTATAAAACAAATTTGACATTAGGTCATTACTCATGTTTAAAAAAAAAAAAAATGGTCCATGTGGTTAGCTAAAAATTGTCACTTTGATCCAAAAAAATTTGGATGGGCACCAGTGGTCTAAAACATAGATTTTGTTATGAGTTTGGCCCAAAACTTTAAGAAAATATTTAAAACGATGGAATTGCCCTCACTTTTATATTTTATCTTTTCTTTTTTCTGTAATTATAAGAAAATCAAAAATAAAAATACCACCCACCCTTACTATCTACCACACCAATAACCACTTTCATCTTCCTATATCCTCCCAATCCCATCGGAACAACCAACCGGAAAAATCAAAACACCATCGGCATCATCGCCGAGAACTGCCACCATCGCTGGGAACCACCATTGTTCGCTGGAAACCACTATTACTACCAGAAATCATTGCCATTTACACCAAATTATGCCAGATTCCACCATCATAGTTGTTAGCTCGTCGGATTTGTCTCTGCCGATCGTCGATTCATGGTTTTTAACCCGCCAGTCACCCAAAATGACTCCAACAACATAGAAAGCACCAAATTCGTCATTCCCCGGCTTTGAAAAACTCTTAAACACAAGAAACCATCAGTCATCTATCTCCGATTCGATCTGTCGTCGAACGACCGCCCTAGTCGTAACCCCCTTTCTCTGTTCCTTTTCTCCGGTAAGATCGGTTTCATGTCTAGATTTAGAGCCCCAGATTTGTTGCCTTTTGTGGTCGACCTACAACATCGACGCCATAAAACCCTATTCTAGGCGTCGCCGCCATAAAACCCTAATCAACCAGACCTAATGTTTATCGCAAGAGGCATAAAAACTTAAGGGTTTTCAGCACCACTTTCATAGAGTTTAAGATCTGGTCGACTTACATCATCTCTCTGTCTTCTCTACCGGAAAATCGAGGGTTTTATCTAACTATTGTTATTGGTGTTAACCGTGCGGTGGTGACGTTCATATCTTTGATCAACAACGTTGGTGGCGTTCATATCTCTCGTTGGCAACGTTTATATCTCCGACCGGTGGTGGTGGTGGTGGTATTTCTATTTGTAAAAATCATGTAGAATACATGTATCGTAGAGAAGAGAGGGAAATACGGGAAGAGGGAAGAGGTGGGGGTGAAGGATTGTATTTTATTTGTTTGTTTTTTTAGTTAGTATAATAACTGGTTTATAACCGTGCGAACCACTATTACAAAATTAATTAAACTATGTAAGTAAAAATTCAAAACTATTATTAAGTATTTTAAATAACTTATTAATTAAGATATACTTTTTTAGTTATATATAAAATTAGAACCATTGATTCAAATAAATATATAAAATTATATCATCTTATAATTTGTATAAATTTTATTTTATTATAATTTGTATAAATTTTATTTTATTTTTTATTTAAATGTTATTAGTTTCATGTAATTAAAATGAGGAATTTAAATTTTGAATTTTGAAATTTAAAAAGAGAATAAATAGATTGACAAATGGCATAATATTAATTATAAAGTTTAAAATGGTGACACATGGTAAAAGAACTACTCTTTTATTAGTATAAAAAAGAATATCAAAAAACAAAATCAAAAGGTTAATTCCATCATTCTAAATATTTTCATAAAGTTTTGAGCCACACTTACAACAAAATCAAAAGGTTAATTCCATCATTCTAAATATTTTCATTAAGTTTTGAGGCACACTTGCAACAAAATCAGATTTTTGGACCAAGTCCAAACATTTTTCGATGAAAGTGTCACCATTTGTGCACTTTAGTCTAAAAAAAAATGTTAAGATATTGTCCAGAAAAATATTATAATAAAAAGTAAAATCCCTTCGATCGGCGTGGCAAGTGGGAGTTTCGACATACCGAAACGGTGGCGACACAGCTCTCGTCCGGCGGAACTCGGCAGTGAAGCGGGAAACCTCTAAAGACTAAAACCCCTTTCTTCAGAACGCAAATGGTGGTATTTGAAGCACGAGAAGAACCCTAGGTCTCATCCCTTCCTTCTTTAGACTTAAATCAATTTCTGGAAAAGAGAACAAAATTGATATGATTAATGGTCGAGATCAACATCATCAGCAGCAGGCAACTACTGTTGAAACGCTCCCTATAAGCTCTCCTCCTCCTTCTTTTAGATCATCACATACAACCACCACCGCTACCAACAACAACATGCAGCAGCAGCAGCAGCAGCAGCTCCCGTCGCCGATCTCTCTTGCTTCCGATCGCCAACTGCCAGGACATCTTGTTACGCCAATTTCCGCTGCTCACCCTACCGGAGAACCCGCCGTGATCATGCCCACATCTTCGCCTTTGGCGAGAATAAGGCTCTCGGACCTGATCCCTTACGACGGGGCGCCTACCGACTCTTATTTGAGAGCGATTGAGGCGTTATCCGGTTCGCTTACGAGGCACAACGCGGCGGTGATTGAATTAGGAACTGATGATGGAGCATTGATGAGATGCGGATTGGAATCGGCGAGGTTGTATTTCAGGACTAGGGCTCAAACTGGTGGTAATTGGAGCAGCAGTAATGGTACTACTGGTGTCTATAAGTATAGGGCAGGAAGGTACGTCTCTTCTCCATTTTTATCCTTTTCAATGATGAAATTCTCTGATGATATTCAATCAGCTTGTGATAATTCGCCCCTTTCTAATACTAAATTACGAGTAAAAAACTGGCTGATTATCTTCTTAGATCCTGCTAATGCACATTATTACTTCCTGCTGCTGCATCTTGTTCTTGTAATGGATGGAATCACAGATAAATGTCATGTGACAGGGCTGTAGAAGACATGGATTCATCTCCACCATGCATGTCAGATGTTTTCAGATGCATGGGAAAGGTTGCTCGTGCTGCTCTATCTGCAATAGCTAGACACCTTCGATTAAGAAGCGAGTAAGAACCATAATCATGGATTCAAGCATTCATTTATTGCACTTAAAGTTACACTTAACATTCATCTACTCACTAACTCAGTGCTTTCAACCATTTACTTGATGACAACCCTTTACCTGCAAATGAGGCATCATCATCCATCCTTGTTGCATCATACCTGCCCACATTGCAAAAGGGGAAAAGTGTGATTGGTGGAGGGAACATAACAACAAATCATGAAAGTGAAAAGGGATTGTTAACATTAGTTTGTTCAGATTCACCTGGTCTGCAGGTATATTTCCTTTGAATCAATCGTTTTATGGATTTGAATTTGATGATTTATAAGTTTTTTTGATAGGTTCGTGATCCCAATGGTAGATGGTATGTAGCAGACATTGTTTCAAGTTCAGGGGATCTTTTATTATTGACAGGGAAGGCACTCAGCCATGCAACAGCTGGCCTTAGGCCTGCTGCTTCATATAGGGCTGCAACAGACTACATTTCTGCTGGGAGGTAACTATGTAGAATTCATCTTAAACCATATTATTACATCATTATAAATTTATAATTTATAATTCATAAAATAAAATGTATCTTTTTTTTTATATAAAATAGGTCATCATTGGCATTTAGGCTGATGCCACAAGGGAATGCCATATTAGACTGTTCTCCCATTAGGGCAGCTGGGCATGTCATCCCTCAAAGCTATGTCCCAATCTCTGTAAGCCAGTTTATGGATGATCTTTCTGCTGATGAAGATATACCTTCTAATGGAACTGATAATGTTTTTGTAAGCCAATCTTTTTTTTTTTTTTATAAAATGTCAAATTCTATGATAATAATTATTACCCATTTGCCAATTTTATATTTTTTTGTATAAATTTGGATGCACAGGCGGCTTGGAAGTTTTCGAATAAAGAACAGTCATTGAGAAGTGTTCTATCTGATTCATTATCGTAAGCTGTTTCATTATTACAAAACTATTGAGTTTTATAAAATATAATAGATTGGATTGGATTTTAATTTAATTTGGTGTTTTATTGATGTAGTGGTGCATTTCTTGAAGATGCTATGCTTGTTCCTTGTGGGCATTCATTTGGTGGCATGATGCTGAAGAGGATGATAGAAACTGTAGGTGAAAATTGTATTATAAAGTATTAATAACCACTTTGGTATATCTTTTTTATAAAGAAAAGAAAAAAAAAAAGTTTTATCTTTTTGTTTACATCACAGGGAAGATGTAGTCTCTGTGATGCTGAAATTGGCACTGCACCTCTAATTCCAAATCATGGTAACATACCTTTTTTTGGTTTTCTTTCTTACTATAATCTATAATCATAACTCCTTTTGTTTTAATTTAATATGATTTTTTTTTAATTATGTTATGAAAAGCTTTAAGAGCTGCAGCTGGAGCTGTTAAACGTGAGGATGATCGAAGGCTCTTTCACAATGCTGCAATGCGAAAACAAAGAAGAGAAGTCAGTGACAGATGGGTATATTTTATATAATCAAAAACACTATAATTATAAATATTTTTTTTTTTACAAAAAATACATTATTTGAGTTAAAATGGCATGAATGATTTCAGGTAAATGGGGATGGTAGTTCTGAAAATGGGTCCCATAGATGTGTACAGTATCCATTTTCAGTAAACGAGAAGGTTGTTATTAAGGTGGGATGTTATTATTATTATTATTATTATTATTTTGAATTATTTCATATATTGAATTAAAAGAAAATGTTGTGCAGGGAAACAGGAGGACACCAGATAAATTTGTTGGGAAAGAAGCTATCATAACTTCACAATCGCTTAATGGGTGGTTAGTATATTGTAGAATTTGTTTTTTAATTACAAAAATATTAAATATGTTTCTTTTTGTTTATAAAACATATAACAATTGAAACTTGTACACAGGTACCTGGTAAATATTATTGAAAGTGGAGAGAAGGTTAGGCTACAATATCGTTCTTTTAGGAAGATCCCAACTTCTCCACCTACAGCTAGTTAATTTTTTAAATTTCAAAGTTAATGTAAATTGTTATGTTTTTCAGCAGAAAAATGACAAATAAAGATGTTAATGTAAGATTTTAGTTCAAGTTATATTAGTTTTTTCAGCAGAATATGATTGATGTATTGGGTATTGGATCTCATACATTTTGCAAGTTATTGTTATGGTTGGATCCTACACATACAAACACGAGTTAATGGATTAAGCCAAAAATCTGGCTTAATATATTAAGACACCAACTCTTTTATCCATTTGCCTTTCTTTTTATGTGGTCACGCTTTATACAACTTTTTTACTTTGAATTCAAATACAATGTATACTTGTTGCAACTTAACTTCAGATATAATATAGTAGCGATTTAAATCGGAAGATAAAGTCCATTGTAGTGCCTTGAAAAAGTTTAAATCATAGTCGGTGGTTTCAACAACATTGTTTGGTATGTCTGGTCTGATCACCACTTCTGATTCTTGAGATGGTTTAGAAATGTCATATTATGGTTGTGTCACTTTTATATTAATATTTTCGAACTTCAAGCTCTCAAATAGACAATAAAATAAACTTTATACACAACTTGTAGATTACTAGAGTTTTGGTACCATATTCAAACCCACAATTTTTTGCAAGCCTATTACCACATACAACGTAAGGTAAAACATACACTACTGATTTTATATTTTAATACTTCATCTATCCATCTAAACGTATAAACATTTACAATGGACCCACACTAATCCCACCAACTAAAGATCTAAACGGCCGTTACGCGTGTTCAAGACAGTGCGAAACATACCGTTAACTCCGTTAGTCAACGTATCTACACCATCCGAGAACTTCGCCGCTGCCGTTCCCAGCTCCTTCACGAATTCCTCCAAACGAACCTTATCTCCGTCGTCGGAAACAAAGACATGGAGGAGGTCGAGTACTACCGCCGCGCGGCTTGCGATGTTGTCAAGCTCCAAAACCGGATTTTGCTTCGGCTTTATCAGGTCAAATATTTGAGTCTGCAGACAGTTGACTGAGTTGGCCCAGAGGAACTCAACCGGAACTGAAAGCTTAGCTACATCGGATTCCCCGTACAAGACGCTAACCAAAACGCTTCCGACGAAAACAGTGAGGACTCCGAGAGCATAAAACGTGCGTCGGATAAGATCTCTTCCGGTGTTCGACTTGCTCGGCGGCAGCTTACCGAGAAGTATTGTCAACTCCCCGATCAAAGCCTTGGCGCGGAGACCTTTCTCCTTTACAGATTCTTGTGTATTGTTAAGAGATTTGGTTAGAGAATCCTTTGCCTTGTTCAATTTCTCAGACGATGGAATCTGATCTGAGAAGTTAAGCAAGCGAAGGCTGAAATTCAACAAAAGACGTCGGTCGGTCAATTTTTGAACCGCCGACGAAAACAAATTACACAGATCAAGTACCTTGAGACTGTATTCCATATACAAAACCTGATAATCATCCGATTCAGATTTCAGATTCGAGATCTGATCCTCCGCTTCGGAATGAACAGTTGAGAGAAACGAAACTGCGGCCGATAGCCAAGATAAACTGATATTTGAGGAACTCGTGGGTAGATCTAGGGCTTTCAGATGGAGAATTACCTTTTCATCAAACGAACGAGCGACGTGTTGGTAGTTTTGGGGAACATGCGGTGGTTTCTTCTTGATTGATCGAAAATGGGAAGATAAGTTTGCTTTCTCGACAATAAACATGGCTAATCGTTGGAGATTAAGATGGTCACTGAGTAAGGAAACCTTGTTGACGGAATTTTGGGTTGCCGGAAAATATAGCTAGGGTTTCTTACGGTGGTTTTATTCAATAATAATCTGTTGGGGTTACACAAGGCGTGTGAAAGTAAATGAACACCGAACGTTGGGATCCTTCGAAATACCCAAATTATCCTTAACCTTTTTAATTTTTTAATTATTATTGTAATAATAGCATATTTACAGTCCCAACATTTCATATCTCTATTTTAATTTTTATATACAACTTTTCTCGTTAAATAAAAATATGCTTTTTGGTCCAACGGTATCGTTTTTTTTTTTTTTTTTTTTTTTTTAAAGGTTTTTGGAGTAGATTATATATTTATATTTGTTGTTTTAAAAAAAAAAAATTATACAAGTTAAAATATAGGGGGGGTTTTTTAACAACAAAATATAAATGGTATATCGATTAAAGTACCTTTTGCGCACGATGTTATTTAAATTTTTTTTTTTTTTTACATTTGAAAAGTAATTATTTTGTCCGGAACACCATAGTTAGACCGGAGGGAGTGGTGTTATCGAAACTGCACTCCCTTCAGGACCACATAAACGTCACTTTTTAAATAACGTCACTTTTATCACACAAGTGTGGTTTTTTATCACACAAGTGTGGTTTTTTATCACACAAAGAGAGTGGTGCCACACTTTTATTTTATTTTATTTATTTTATTTTATTTTAATTTGATAAAATTTATTTTTAATAAAAATATATAATTTTAAAAAGATAATATTTCATTTTTAAAAAAACAATTTGAAAAACAAATTGAGGAAGAGATAGTAAAAACATAGGAAAATATTGTGAAATTTTTATAAGTAATGGTAAGTATATATAGGGTGAACTAAAAAAAATATTACATACGCAGAGGAGAAAGAAGTAGCAGCCAATCACGAGACGCGGCCATAACTTGCCACACTGCGGCCAAGACCGCAGGAAACCGCACCCAGGGGGCGGTGTGCGCAGTCTAGCTGGCATAACCATGGTTTGAAACCGCGGTCCACTCCGCACAACCTTATAATTGTTGTCGAGTTGATGAGATTCAACATAAAGTGGTAAAGGTATTCTATAATCTAACAAGTATCGTTCTAAAATGATATTGTATAATTCTAAAATGACATTGTATAATTCTAACCAACATAAAAACATTCAAGAACGTACGTAATTCAGGACTAAAAAGGGGGTGAAGATTATGAATTATTGGCCATTTGTTTACTTCTTTTATGCTTTTTGGATTTGTTTGGAGTTTGAAATTTACATTTCTAATATTGATAATGATTTTATATAATTAGTATTTTTAGAATATATGATTGTGGTGGAGAACAATTGAAGCAAAATACTAGGCTCCATGTATTATATTGTTCCATATTACACATGTGTTGGTGTCGATTTAACCAATGATATCAACTTCGTTGAGTTGATTAACTCTAGAGCTTCTAAGTCCATGTTGAATAATAATCAGATTTATTTGTATTTTCAATCTTCCAGTCCAAAAATAGTTAGGTAAATTATTGATAACATGTGTATCCTATATTTTATAAATATTGTAACATGAATGCCTCCTAACATACTTTAATTTTTTTGTTAATAATTATGTGGAAAGTAAATAGGTCACATGGTTCGAGAGCAACCAAGTATGTAATTTAGTACCAATGACGTTGATTCATCTGGTGTATATACAGGGAATGATGCAAGGTATAAAGGTAATAACACTTTTTTTGATGGTACTTCTTATGTGTCATTTCATGTAGTGTTGGAAAGATGGTGATGAATTGGTGTTGTTCTTCAAGTGTGTGAGTGTGTGTGTGTGTGAGAGAGAGAGAGGACGGGACGGGACGGGAAAGTTGAGGGTATATGGATTTAAGGTGGGTGGTGGGTTGACCTAATTTCTCTCTCTTTCTCTCTCTCTCTCTATATATATATATATATATATATATATATATATATATATATATATATATATATATATATATATATATATATATATATATATATTAAAAATGATAGAATAGATTTTTACCGGATGATGTTCAACCACATAAGAAACTAAAAACGTCGATATTTTGATAATTGTCATAAATTAGTTAGTTCATGCAAACCACGGTACTGATTGTATAATTTTGTCTATATGAAGTTTTATAAAAGAAATATATCCTTGTTTTTATATGGATAAAAAATATTTATAGAATACGAAAGGGTATAAATGGTAGATCCCAAAATAGATGTGATTGGATGTTGTTTTCTTATCTTGTGGTGGATACAAACGTGAGTTGGACATGACATAAATGGAAGATTGGTTAACCTATATCGCGATTTAAATTAATTAACAACTCATCGTTCTATGAAATTAAGTTTTAATAAAATGATCTTTCCAATGATAAATTCTTTTCGTAAAGATAATTAATTAGTAAAGGGTTTTACTAATTAATTATCTTTCCAATAATAAATTCTTTTCGATACCAAAGAGTTTCTAACCCAGCGGTTGTTCTCCCTCTTTGAGGTCGAGGGTTCAAGTCCCGTGAGGGATATGAGTGGAGAATTAGGAGTAGATTAGATTTACCGTTAAAAAAAAAAACTCTCTCATTTAATTAATCATTTTTAAACATACATCATTCCTAAAATATCACAACAAATGAAAATATTTCTAGAATCATTATGAAATTCATATTTCACAAATAAAATCATTAAATATTTAATAAAAATAATTAATTAGTAAAGAAATAACAAATAAACTAAAGCTAAAATATAGTTATAGAAATGAAATGATATATAACTAAAAGAGAACTTGGATATACGAAGCTTTAAACTATATTGATCATTCAATATTTATTGATTGGTCAACAAAAAAAAGTTATTTGTTTTAATGATAATAAGTGTTATAAATAAATAATAATAATAATAATAATAATAATTAAAAAAAACATCATAAATGGTCCCTGTGGTTTCTCAAAATCTGAAGTTAAGTCTCTGTGGTTCAAAAACATCATAGATGATCCCTGTGCTTTCAAAACTTTTGACGATTGGTCTTTATTGCTAACTCCGTTAAGTTTTGTCCATTAACTGAGGGGTATTTTCGTCATTTCACTCCCATAGGGACCATTTATGATGTTTTCTAGTATCTTTTTTATTAAAATAAATACAATTAAATTTATAAAAGGTCTCTCTCTCTCTCTCTCTCTCTTTCTCTCTCTCTCTCTCTTACACACACACACACACTCAGAATATGGAAACTGTAAAGCCTTGAATCAACCATCAAAGCCTACATTTTGTGAGCGGCTTCTTACACACCACCTCCGGAAAACACCATATATATCACCCTGACAACCACCTTCATTCCCACTACCACCAGTGACCAATATTACACATAAATCTCGAATCATGGTTCATTGTCTACATCTACAACACCAAATCATGTGTGATTCAGAAGGAGGACCGAACCTTGTGTGATTCAGGAAGTGCGATCGATTGGAGAAGGATTG